CAGCTGTTGTGATAATTTTAGTATATTAAAATCAAATTTTTTACCCTTTAGCTAATTTGAATAAATTGTTATGATAGAATGAAAAGGATATCCTAGGATCTAAGTAAATAAGTAAATACTTTTATTTTATTGTATTATTATTTGTTTGGAGACTTGGTTTCACCTTTAGCTTATACTAGCATCAAACTCATGGAAACCTTCCTGATTTATAGACACAAGTGCTGGGATATCAGGTTTGAACTCCCAAACCCAGAAATTCTTTAAGTGAGTTGGGTCATGTGAAGGAACTGTGTTTTTCATTTAATATATTCATCAGTCAGGTGATAAGTGTTCACTGCTGTCTCTAGGAAGGATGGCTTTATGTATGAATATAATGTTTTGGCTAGTCCCCCTCCATTTTTCTCCCATCCTGTTCCTCCCTTCCTCCTCTACCCTACCCATTACTTCTCCCTTCCAACTTCATGTGCGACTTAACTTAATCTTGTGAGTCACTTGGTGCTGTCTCTAAGTACATGGAAATAGGAGCACTCATCAAACCTTGGGGACCTTGAAGAAAACTTACATTCTCACCCCAAACAGCCATCAATTACCAACAGCTCCTTAGTTAAGGTGAAACTTCATAAATCCCTCCCTCACCTGCGAATGACTTGATCTCATATAGTCTTGTGCTTGCAGTCACAATGTCTGTGAGTTCATGTGTGCAATGGTCTTGTCATGTCCAGAAAATAATGTTTCAATACAGATGCCCACTACTTCTGGTACTTACAGTCTGTCTACACTCTCCTCCATGATACCCCCTGAGCCTTGGGATTAAAAAAACACAATATTAACTAAAAAGTCCGTTTTTCTTCTTAAAGAATTACATTTTCAACACTTTGTTTTATAAATACTCATTTTATTTTAAATGTATAATTATCAGTGAATCTTGAGGCTACACACTTAGAAACCTCTCCAGGGAGCAACCTCTGTTCCACGTTAGGGCACAGTGACTGCTCGAGGACATTAACATGAATAAGATATTGTATTGTCAGATGCTGACTAGGGCCAGGTCTTCAGAAGAGTGACAGTAACTCTGAACTATACTACACATAAGCACACATCTTGCATGTTGGTGACTGGAAACACAAAGATTACTCTTAAAGGTCCTGGATCCTAGTGCATAGTGATTACTCATGTAGTTTAAAGACTTCATTGACTGTTTGAATGTCTAGTTAGGAAAACAAGCACTACAAGATCAGAAGTTGCTTTATCTTCAAAAACATAATAAAACTTCCCATTGCCAACCAGGACAGGCCTGTCCAGCTCTCTCAAATCATAGGAGCTACATGCATTTACAATAAGCAGCAAGAAACTCATTGTCTGAGGAAAAATCAGAGGGCATGGCAGAGCTTCAGACTTCTGGATTTCTGACTCAAAGATTATGCAGTCTTGTATGAATTCCCAGAGCTTTCTATCTGCTCCTGTTTAGAGGTACAGCTGGCCAAGTTCCTAGCAGCCTCATTCCCATCCTGTAATGGAGCCTATGCACACTGTTTCTTTTTGTCTTTCAGCAAGACTTCTCTTGCGTCATGTAGACAATCGAGGGTCTAATAGAAGGAGAGTGGCACGCTGCCAACAATTATTAAGCACCCTCTACCTGTTGATGTTCTATTACTGCCTCCTATTCAATGGAACACTCCATCTTAGTTCATGTCTTCTCTTCTGATGCTCTTTTCTACCTGCCTCTTCTTAACTGCAGAATTTATTTATTTATTTATTTATTTATTTACTTATTTATTTATTTAACCTGTGTGGCACTGTGGATGAAAACAAGGGCTTCATACATGCTGAGCAAGGGCACTACTGTATTTAGTTAACTATTTTCTTTTTGTGACAGCTCAGTAAAAACACAGACTGCCTGTAAGAATCATTTCTCAGAAATGTGTGAGATAAATTTCATGAAGTTCTGAATCAAAGTTTTGGTAAGTCAGTTATGCTTCAACCCAGGCCACAGAGGCACACAGCAGGGGAGGGGGCAGTGTTAGATTCTGTAAACTTTTCTGCTACGGATAGTGGGGCCTAATGACTGGAGGAGGCCAGATCATCCGTGGGAATGTAGTGGAATAACTTCTGACATCTTCAAATATGTCTTCTCAAAGCTTAACTACTTAGCTATCTCTTTGGTTACCTTATTCAAAGCCAAACCAATATATATTCATGATTAACACTATATTTCCAAGAGCTTTTAATTATGAGGTGTAGCTAAGTTGAAACACAATATAAAGACACTATTACTCAAGATATATCAATGGTAACTTTTGTTAAAACTTTTTAGCTATTGCCAGCAATGTAAAGATGCTTTAGACAAATTTCACATTAGAAGTTGATCTTTTCTGAAAACATGTTCCC